AAAAAATGTTATATGGAAAACAGAAGGAATTCATCAACTTGAAAACGAATAAAGCCACTGATGAATAAATATAACAGCGGATACGTGGGTAAGAATGTAAAGGCGAGAGCGAATGAGTATACACGGTGACACATATATGTCTGCGCGGACGCGTGTGGCTGAATGAGTGAACAGAAGAGATAAATTCCCTGCGCAGATTTGCCCACTATGCTGGTCCCGTCTGGTGGCTGCTGCAGCGACCATTGTGTGACGGTAAATACTGTACGTGTTGTGAATGTTTATCGAGGAAATAAAACATGTGGAGTAAGTGCCGCGTATGTTGATATTTTTGCTTTATATACATTTTATGCGGTGGAGTTTTCCAGCTCAGGGAGTGGCGTGGAGGAGGAGGCGAAGCGGACACAAAATGCCACGCCTTTTAATATTTATCAGTTGTAGCTTGCATTAATTTCTATTTGTTTATTCTCGGATCAGAATGTGCAATGCTAATATTCCCCGTAAGCCAGGTTTCACATCAGACACACGCTAAAAATCGTCGTCAGAAATAGTGAATAATACATTGTGATTCGATTTTCACAACAAATAACTCCTCAGGTGTCCACCGCCATGACAAGCACGACTCGCAACACAGACCCACAATCTCATATAACCCACGAGACCCTAACCTCAATACATCACCCCTTAACATACCAGAAACCGGAATAAAAACCCTCCTCCATTTACAACAAGCTGTTTATTCTGGATTCTCGAGTTTAAAGAAAAAAAAAAAAAAAGACGAAGAAAAGACGAAAACCACCCACGCCTTCATCGCAGAGAAGCAACGTGGAGTCTCTACTTCCCACCCGCGCGAAGGAAACCCGCCGCCCGTTTTCGGATTTCACAACGCGCCGACACCCGACACCCGACACCCGCTCCGTGTTGGCCCGCTCGCATCTCCGCGCCAACTTACGAGCGCGAACGTTTAATGAACGCCCCTCATGCAAATTTCGCCTAACACTCGATTTACATTCCATAGTTAGATTCCTTTATCCATGAAATACGGGGTTGATGGATAATTTCAAAAAAGGAAAAAAAAAAAAAAAAAAAAAAACTAGATATAAGACCTACTGGGATATCTACGGCATTCCTGTGTGTAAATCTCTTTTACACCTAATTTTGATATTGCTATTCTTATGATATTCTCGCTGCTACCCTTATTCTTATCATTGTCCATGTAATTTTCAATTATCATTATCATTATTATTATCATTATTATCAAGATCGTCATTATCATCACTACTATTATTACTATCACTGTCACGATCGCTATCATTACCATTATTATTATTATTATTATTATTATCATTATTATTATTATCATCATCATCATTATCATAATTATAATCATCTTTACTATTATCATTATCATCATTACTTTACTATCATATAAACTTTAAGATTACTACCACCATATATATATTCTATTATCACCATAATTATTATCGTTATCATCATAATCACTATCACCATTGTCATGGTGCGAGTAATATAATTTTTGATATAATCAATTATTATTACTATTATTGTCACTGTATTGACAAACACATCTACATCCACATCCACACATCTATATCTATATCTATCATTCTCTTCGTTTGT